GTATAGTATTTAAATATATGCCTGAGAAACACATAATATTGCCCCTTTAATGTTTTTAATGCTGTAAAATGATTAATATTTTTAATCTGATTAATCCCAAGGTAGTTGTGAATTAATCACGATTAATTTTAAACTTAATATACCTTTCATATTGGTAAAATAAAATACTTTGTAATTAGTTTTTAATATTTTTATTTAGAAAACACAATTGATGCTTAAGAAATACACGGAACAACAATAAATCATGCCACACCGTAACTCTCCTGGCTCTTACACCATTTAACTGTCCTCCACTATTTTAACGGCCCTACAATCCATGGCAATCCATTTTGCTAGTGAGCTTGTCAGAGGTAGATTTATTTATTGCCCTGCGTTCACTGAGAGTTGTTCGTCATAGACCCGATGAAGCGCCTGAAGCGGAAGCTCRGGCAAACAGAAGCTTGGTGTTGAGATGGCACCTTGAAGTCGAGGTGCTTCGGTGGAATGCAAATTCTTTTCTGCAGTATGTGCAAATGGCTACGTGTGTTTTTATTCCTTTTAAACTCAAATTTACCATCGACAGGGCCAACAATTCCTTCTTCCTCCACATTGAAACGTAGAGTGCAGCTAGATCGCAATGAATTGTGGGAAATCCTGAGGGTCAATGAGCGCATGCGTGAATGTGTTTAAAAAAATTAATCACTTTCATTTTACAAATTAATCAATATGTCTTACCTCAATTAATTTCACATCCCTAGTTTTTTATGCATTTAAGTGTAACGTTTTTAATTGTGATGTTATACCTCCTGTGAAAAGACGCAAATACAAGTTCCAACTGAAGGCATGTAAAATATAAAACGTACCACCACCGTGCAGGGTATGGCTTGGTATGCCATCCAAAGATTGTTTCGTTTCACAGTTGATGTATGCAGCCTACAGGGACCATAGTCTAAGTGGGCTGCAACCCTTGAATTGAAACACAGCCTTTTTCTAACTGTCCCATCTTGAACTTTAACCTTTAATCTGTGGCATGAGGCCTGCAGAGGTTTATGTTTTTGTTATTTCTCTGAGCAGCATAAGGTCTTAATTAGCTCCATTTAAGAAAGTACAGTATGTCCACTCCTGTCAAATTGTTTGGAAGTGACTTTTAACCCCTCTCAGGTTGATGAGCAGCCACAAGCACTCCTCTGAGGTCATTTCTGATGCTTTTAAAGAGATGCTTGAATTTTTATTATCTCTTTATATGTAAAACCCTAGAACTAAAAGCTGTTTTTCACCATGACTGTAGGCTGTGTCTTATAAAATCATACTTTCCCTGTGATAAAAACAATGTCTTAAGGCTGAGTGTTAAAAACTAATCATACAGCGAGACCCTGCCGTACAGCAGGACAAGACCTAGTTTTACTGGGTTTATTACTTTATTCGTTTTGTCTTTCAGTTTCTCCTTCCYTCTGTCTTCTGTCTCTGTTCACTGAGCTGCATGTTTCTGTCAGCCTCTCTCTCTGACATCTATTGTCAGTCTGAGGCTCTCGTTCAGTATTCCTCTCACACACCAACACACACAGAGAAGCAGATCTTCCTCAGGGTGTCTCACCTCCATTCTTCAGTGAGYCTCTGACAGATTGTTTATCCTGTCTTTTTTAACGTTTTTTTAATCCTGTTTCCTGTCGTTCCCACCCCCCTCCCTCCTACAGATCCATCTAAAGGTACCCCTCCACCCCTGCATCTCTTCAGGGGCGTGTCACCTGGGTTCTCTTTAACATGCACGCTCCCAGGAGTGTGGAGCCCGTTTAGTTGAGAGGGATCCACGGGGTGCGTGGTGTGTGTGTGTTTGTCTTGGAGATGGGCTCGGTGGGAGCGGAACGCCGCAGGCCCGGGTTGGCCCAGACGCCCGAGGAGCGGGACGTGTGGAGGGATGGAGGGAGAGTCGGATGGAGGGATGCAGGGAGGGAGGCCTGGAGGGAGGGCAGGGAGAGCGGCGTGGTGCAGAGCTACAGCTTCGACTCCTACCAGCTGGAGGAGGAGGAGATCAGTAAGGACGCCCCGGAGKGAGGAGTGCTGGCTCTGTCTGAGCCCGGTGAGCCGCTCTGACTCTCTGTGTGTTCWGTTCTATTTATGAAGAAACGAGAAAGGAACAAAGTGCTTTTAATGTAGTGATTTATTACTGTGCACAGGAAGTGGGGGTGCAGCGTTAAAGAAACAGCTTTTTTTTAAAAAATCCAACTCTTTTATTGCAAAGTCAGAAGGCAAATTAAAAAGCATAAAGTAACTAAATCAGCACATTTTTTCATATTAATGAAACTCACTGTAAAAAAATGAAATATTGGATTTACTTAACCATGATATGTTACCTGCATGGTTCCACGTAACTGAGTTGAGTAAATTCAAAGCAACTCATGTTCTTTGGTTAAAAAATTGGTATATTGCTTTGAATTTACTCAACTGGTGAAGTGAAAGTGAAGCTTGTTTAACCTGTTATAACTAATTCTTGTTTCACAATTATTCAATGTTCTCATGTACATGTTTGCATCCTTTTTTAAAATAAAGTTGTAATATGACAAGAATAAATTCATAATATTATTCTTGTATTATTCTGAATTTATTCTCATAATTAAAATAAATAAATAAATCTTATCAGGTGGCCCTAACACTCAGATATGTTGTTTTATTTATTCATTTATTTCATTCATAAAACAACAAAAAGTCCATCAAAAAACATCAATTATTTAATGAAGAAGAAAGAAAGAAAGAAAGAAAGAAAGAAAGAAAGAATCTTATATCTGCACCTTAAAAATTTAACTTCCAACAAACAACTTAAATTTGAACAATATTTGAGAAAAGAAAACCAAAAACAAAATGCATGTTACTGWTGAAACATAACTTGTTCTACTTGAGTGTGTTTGAAAGCTCCACTACCTTGTTTGACCTCCAATATTTATCTTTGTTTATTATACAGCAGGTTTACTCTAATACTTCCATCTTCTAGATTCTCTGTAATATTTGTTGACTTCAGCAAACTACAGCCAGCCTAATGTAGGGCAGTCGTGTTTAAAGCTAGTTTGTTTTCACTGAGTGCAAAGAAAAAAAACAACTAAAATTACAAACTGGTTTTAAACTGCTACTTTTGTCCATGATAACCTTTTATAGGTTTTATTTTATKATTTGCAATCAGTGCGTTTAATTATCTGAAAACATGATGGTGCAGTTATATGTCTTTACAAAAACAAAACATTGGGAGATAATCTCAACATGTTACCCAGATGGTACATTTATTAAAATTTATTTTCATATGAAAAATTTATTAAAACAAATGTCAAGAGCTGGGTGTTTTCAGATGAAAGCAGCACCATGGAGAGCAAGAGAAGTGTATGAAAAATACAGAAGGCAGTCCTGTTTACATATAATTGCTGTGTTGCTTGGTAACACYTGTTGCACAATGTTAATTAGATTATAAATAAAGAGACACAGACAAGGTCTCTGCTCACCGTCCTTTATCTGTYTCCTGTCTGCTGCCGCTAAAACACTGTTTTAATCATTAGTTTTCTGTGAACGACTGGGGTTTATGTGAGGAAATATAAGTAATCTGTGATGCTCTGAGAATAATTTACTTTATTTTGAAAAATTTAGACACTCAGGCAGCACTGCTTAAAATGCATTCAACGTTAATTCAGATAAATCTCTAAGATGCAGCATACATACATACATACACACACACACACACACACACACACACACACACACACACACACACACACACACACACACACACACACACATATATATATATATATATATATATATATATATGAACAGAATTAACTTAAAGTTCCAAAATTAATACCTTAGAATCCAAAGTTTTACATTTTAGGACGTAAAAATCACTATGTTCTTGTTAAGCTGAAATCATTAAACCTGAAAACAATTTCCAAACAGTCTTTTTAAATTAAATAAATATTACATATTGTTGGAGAACAAATTGGAGATACAACATTTGAAAAACAAAAACATTATTTTTGATATCAGCCAGGTTCTAAGTGAGAAAGTAAAGAACGTTCTTAAAAAAAGAATCATGTGGAGAAAAACAACACTTCAAGAGCAACAGGATCGACTCAAGACTTCTGCATAACACTGTTACTGAAAATTAAATATACATATATATTTAAAACATGGAAAAAGCTATGTGTGAACAGCCAACCAATAAAGTCTGAAGCTCTTTTCTCTTCCATTCTTGCTCAGAGATGATTTGAAGCTGTTTGAAGGAAGCCCAGAGGATTAGAAGGGGATTAGGAACAGTTCTATAAAAAACATCTCATTTTATCTGTGAAACTAAAACCRCTTTAGATGATGCTATAGTTGTTCCTCATCAGTGATTCCTCTGTTCAATCTTTCACCAAGAAATCACTATGATCACCAGTGCACAGAGCATGCATTGTACCAGGGAACATACTGYAAAAATGGATACTGGMGAGTATAGGTACTGAAGGAAATAGGTCCTGGGGAACATACTGGAGAAATTTAGAACTTGGTAACAAGGTTTCTTGTGTTTCATCCTGATTTCAGTGTTCTGCAGTCATGTTCCCTCAGATTATGACTTAATCTACTGTGATTCTTCCTAACCCTCGACTCCGTCTTTACCTCCTCAGACTTTGAAGAACCGATCCCCGATGACCGCTACCATGGCATCTATTTCGCAATGCTGTTAGCTGGAGTTGGTTTCCTGCTCCCCTACAACAGCTTCATCACCGATGTGGACTACCTGCATCGCAAGTTTGAGGGTACAAACGAAGCCACAGCTGAGTGCCCACGTCTGTAAAAAAAAAAAAAAAAAACACAAGCCTCTCTGAGGCGACTTCTCTCCTCTCCTGTGTGTTTCAGGAACATCTATCGTGTTCGACATGAGTCTGACCTACATATTGGTGGCTCTGCTGGCCGTCATCCTCAACAACGTGTTGGTGGAGAGGCTCAGCATGCACACCAGGATCACTGTAGGTATGTCAGAGCTGTGGAACCAAAAGTCCCTCGTGGAAAATCTGCTGTTTGTCTAAATCCTGGGAATGGTTTTTCCAAAGTGTGTCAAAATGTTTGTGGAGCTTCTCGGTTTTCTTCTGGGTCCAGAGGCCTATTGCACGAAACTAGGATAAGGGATTAACCCGGGATTTTGGTGTAAACCTGAATTAATTAAGCCTTGAATCGGTTGCATGAGCTATGAAGCACTTATTTTTCTGTGGTAACAAGTGCTCTGYAACTAACCTGGTCCTGACCAGGTTTAAAGTGAAGCTTATTTAATCTGTTAATGTGTTTGAACAGTAGACAGTCATTTTATTGCAGAAAAATGTTCTTCTAACCAAGTTTTACAGTCTTATATCAGCTAAAAAGTATTTTTGATCTTGTTTTTAGACCAGTATACTAAACAAGATCAGAATATGTTGGATTATTAATCTTGTTAATCTGAAAAGTTCCTTTTTTTTACTTCAAGAAGGCTTACCAAGTGCAACTGTCAAACTGCAGATTATTAATTATTATTAATTTGAAAAGAACAATGGTCTAATCTAGTATTTTTTA